GGGCAGGGACCAACTGTGTCCGGGGCTGCCGGCAGGTCAGGACAGAATAGAAGTGAGCCCTGACCTCGGACTTCTGCAGGGCGGAGGTCGCCGCTGGTCTTGGTAAGAGCCGTTTCTGAGGTGACATAGGCCCTCTGCCAAAGCAGCGTTTTGAAGGTGGGAAGCTTTCGGTTTGGTAAGCTGAACTGAATGGGTCAGCAGAGGGGCGAGGGCTGGGGTGATGTGTTGGGGTGCACTGGGTGGGTGAGAAGAGACGGCGTCCAGTGCCCTCCAAAAAGAGCGCAGACGCTCTTCCCTCAGCGCGGCATCCGTGCCCTGCAGTTGGCGGGTCTGGCACAGACTCTGCTAAAGGCCTGAAGGGCTTAGGGGCAGTCCTGGGCAGCCTCGTGCCCATGAGTCACCCTGCCCCACCCTCACTGGCCCAGACCACATCTGGGCTTCTGTTCCCCTGCCCCATTTCCAGTCCGAAGGTGAGGCTGGGCTGCCACGCCAAACCCAACCCACTCCTGTCCCAGCCCATGGTCACCTTTCTGAGTACGCCCCACCCCAGCTGGGCCTGGCCCACCTGTCTCTAACCCAGCATCTCACACCCCTTAGCTGGGCTCTGATGACCACTTTCAGAAACCAGGTAGTTCCTATCAATGTTAGTCTCTTCCTCTTCCACACCAGCCCTTTGGGCTGAGCGCCCGTCTTTCTTTGCAACAAATGAACTTGAGTTAGGACAATATAGCATCACCCTCAACGAACAATATAACTTTGTATGTGTGAACACAACATTCCTTAACAAAGGAGCCCTTGTAGAAGGACCAAGGCAAACGCACAGGTGCTGGGCGAGGGAGCCAGCACATTCCTGATGGGCACTCCCAGAGGCTGCCCGGAAAATGCAGGCTTTGTCCAGGTGTGGAAGGGACGGGGAACGCAGACAGGGTGTGTGCCGGGAAATCAAGTCCATAAGTAGGAGTTGATACAGAGTGTGAATGGAGTGTGGCCCTCAGCTCCAAGTCAAGAAGCGGGGTATGGGGGGAGATGGGGTTGGATTTCAGCACCAGCGTTATTCTAAAAGTAACACAAAAAATTAGGGCATGTGGAAGGATCTGGGAGGTTAGCCAGCGGAGAGGGTCGAGTGCTGCCCTTTGAAGGCTGAATAGGATTTGGCAATGGGCTGATGCCAGCAGTCACAGAAGCAATGCACAGCAGGGGTGGGTCAGATTGTGGGGCCAGGAGGATCAGGCTGAGTTTAACTGGATCCTGGAGGTAAGGCAGCCACAGAAGATGCTGGAGCAGAGGAGTGACACAGGCAGCGCCATGATCAACGACACTCAACGGCACCAACATGGGGCCCTAGAGAGAGCGAGACCAGAGCCCGGAAGAGAAACCACATCTGAGTCATGGACCGCTTTGTGTGGACGCCAGTATTTGGGGACTGATTGGAAGGGGAAGGATCAGGGGAGAAGAAAGCATCCAAGATGACACTAAGGTGTTGAGTAGGAAGAGCTGTGTGCATCATCTGAGACCTAGAAGTGGAAAGAGATGCTGTTAGTGGCAACTAGAGGAGTGGGAAGGCATATGCTGAGTTTAAGGCGCCCTGAGTCTCCCAGTCAAGGGTGACCAGGAGGCATGAGAAGGAAGGCTCCCTAGTCAGGAGTGAGGTCCTCGCTGGAGACCCAGATTTAGTGTCATTGGCGCAGTGGTGAGGTTTGAAGCCAAAGAGGTGAATGACGTTGACAAGGGAGAACACTCAAGGCCAGTACAAATCCATCCAAACCGAGCAGGTACATGAGTCTCCGTTCCACGCAGGCTGCTGGCCAACAGGCCTTTCCTCTCCACCTGTCTCAGTCTACCCAGCCTTTCAGGCTAGCCCCACCCCCTCCAGGAAGCTCTCTCTGGCACTGCACCCCAAGGGGGTCCCTTGCTGCTGTAAGCATCTCAGCACTGGCAGTCCACGCCTCAGGCTCGTGATATCTCAGACACGGAGCACACACAAGGCATTGAATAAGTAGCTCCTCCTTGATGAATTGATCAATTGATCAATTACTGGGTTGGAGGTCAAGAAGAAGAGGAAGGGGACTAGCGAGTAGTTGACGAGTGATAAAAGGACTCATGAATGTTGGACTCATACCGCAGCCACCCTTCGTGCCTCATCACGATGAATTAGATCTATAATATATGGATCGGCATGGATACATCTCTAAAACATTGTTGAGTAAAAATAACAAGTTGCAGCTGTATGTGAAACCCGCTGGAGTAGTGAGCGCTGTCTACCAAATCTCGCTGGTTCTCCCCAGCACACAGGAGGACTGCACTGCTCCACTCCCGGGGAGGCGGGAGGGGCCCTGTGGCTTGCCTGGCCCACCGCAGGGGAGCAGAAGCTTTGAGATGGGAGCTTTAAGAGCCAGCCCACAATCCACTGCTCTCTTTTCTTCCTCTCTCAGCCTCTGTCAGTCTAGATCTCTCAGTGATTCCTGGGAACAGAACCCCACTGCACACCCTTGTCAAACATGTGCTGGAGTGAAACAAAAGCGCTTGCTGTGTTAAAAAAAAAAAAAAAGCAAGAAAGGAAAAAGGAATAAAGGAGTCTAAGGTGAAGCATTGGTAATCTCAGATGGGCACGACTGAAGGATTTATTGCGTGTTTCTGGGTGCGGGGCACCTTTGGCACGGGGTGGGGTGGGGGGCGGTGCGGACAGGTGGTTGTGTGGCTGGTTGTATGGGTGGCTGTATGCCTGGCCCCATCCATGAGATGCCAGACGTGCCCCTTGTTATGTGATAGCCAAACACACTCTCACCCCCACCTTCCCAAATACTCCTGGGGGTGATACCAGCCCCAAGTGAACCATAAATGTAAAGGGGTCAGTGGAAGTGAGGGTGGGAGGCACAATGGGGCCCAGATAGGACAGCTGGGCTGTGGGAGCAGAGGGTCTGACCGGCGACACTACATAATCCCCCAAAGTGCTCAGACTGAATGTGGCCAGTTGAGAGTGTAAGGATATTTTTCACAGTGGACAGAACAGAGTGAGATTATCCCAGAGGGAGGTAGGAGAAATTGATGTAATAGTGACAAAATACCCCAATGCCCATGAATTCCAGCCTTTACCCGAGTCACACAGCATCCTCTGTTGGTCTACAAAGTCTCTATCCCCTTCTGCAGAGGAGGAAACAGCCAGAGAGGAAGGGGACAGTCTGAGGGGAACAGAGGTGAGTGGGAGAGCTGCTCCAGGGCGCGGAGGAGTGACCTTGAAAGAGAGGGAGATTCTGAAACAGAGCAGATGGGACTAAGTGACAACCTGGATGGGGCGGCGGGGCGAGGGTGGGGTGGGGAGGCGTGGGGGCCAATGCCCAGGCTGTAGGAAGAGGAGAAGGGGACTTAGGGGTAACCGTTCACCGTTTGGCTGAAGGCAGACCATGTGGCCAAGACTCCAGCCAGTAGCTGGAGCTGTGAGCCCACCGGGTTGGGAGAGGCTCCCGCCAGCTGCCCTCCCGGAGCCCAGGCTTCCTGAGAACGAGACAGCAGGGAGCCACCTGGCGAGCCAGATGTTTGGAGGCTGTTGCCTCTCAGGGCAGAAGCAAACCTCTGCATTGACACCAGCACCCTGTGGGCCCCAAGGACAGCCTGAGGCAAGAGGGAAGAAGGCAAGTCCAGATACACCAATCGGTGAATTCTTGCATGGCCTTTATAGGACCCACTGATATGAGGACACAGAGACACACGAGGGCGCTCTAACCAAATAGCAGGGGCGGAAACTGGTCCATCCCCACATGCAAAGAGGGTCAGGCAGTAACTTGGAAACCCTTCGGTCTGGTGTTTCTCAGTGGAGCTGCTGCTAGAACTCTGGGCACGCTGTTCTCCCCCAGGGGGTGGTGTCCCTGCCACTTCAGGGTGTCTGCCATCCTGACCCCTCCCCGTCACGGAGAACACCAGCTCCCCAAATTTCATTTCCAAACACCCCTTCTCCATATAGTTCCTGCTGGTCAGGGCCACTGGAGGGTGCCCACTGGTGGCCTTGGGCAGCTTGGTGGCTTCTGCTCTCCCCGACCTTACAGAGGAACCCAGCACCTCCCACTTTCACTTTGTGAGTTAGGCACCTACTGGGGCTGGGGAATTGCAGGCCCCAGGGACAGCTTGTGCTGATGGGGACTGTTGTCCTTGGGAGGTCGGTTTTCCTTCGTGCTGTTGTCCTTCAGGACAGGGAAAGATGAGGGCTGCGTTGATAACACTGGGGACACAGACACAGGACCCTGAGACAGACACCACGGGACCTGACACCAATGTCCCCGGGAGCGAACATAAGGCCACACAAAACACAGCTTGCACAAAACGCCCACAAAGCAAATCTGGAACAGGGCGCCCTCTAGAGCCCAGAGGGCCTCACCGTCGTGAGTTCCGAGATGTAGGTTCCCAAAGACAAGTATGAAGGTGAAAGTCCAGGGGAGAGATTCTAATAAATATTTACCATCCAATGAGCCCTGGACCCTGGCCAGTCAGAACGGAGACAGGTGTAAACAGCTGGCACATGCCAACTAGGCTATTGGCCCTGCAAACAGCCTAGTTGGCAGAGTGTGAGTCCTCTGTGGGACGGTAGCCATGCTGAAGTGGCTGCTTGGGTAGACAGAGGTGACTTCTTGGGAACACACACCAAGGTGAATGGCAGTCTGGAGAGAGCCTGGGAGACCCACTGTCAAGCCCAGTGCAGGACTGGTACCCACGAGCGCCTGAGGGAGAGAGGGGCTGGACAAAGACCCAGACCCGCCAGCCCACAACACCCAGTGTCCCCACCACCCCCACCAAGGAGCCTGGTGTTCTGCAACAGAGGTGGCCTATGCATCCCACAACGGTGGCGTCTGCTGGAAGGCACGGCTGGAAACCCCTGGTACCTGGGCACGGCCCTGCCGGTTGTGCCGCTCGCCACCTCTGAACACAGATAGGCCCACCCCAGCCCGCTGGCCGGGCGTGAGCTCTTACTCCACGGGGAGCAGACATGGCACACCAAACATGATTCTTACCCTCCTTCGAAGATTTTGATCCTCGCCGGCTCCCCTCTCTTGGAGGCAGGAGTGTCCTCCTCCGGCTTCCCTCGCTTCTCTTCTTCCTTCTCCACTCTAGCTATATCTTTCTGGCCTTCCGGGGAAACCAGCGAAGGGAGGTGAACCTGGCCCACCGCAGGAGGGACAAAATCATTGCTGGTTACACGGCAGCAACGGAATGGTGCCTTCAATGGCATGCATGCTTACACTCAGTCGTGTCTCACTTAATCTCCACGCTGGCCCGGGAAGAAGTGCTGTGACCCCACTTTACAGAAAGGAGGAAGCTGACCCTCCAAGGGACGAAGTTCCTCATTCAAGGCCACATGGTTAGTGGGTTCCCAAACTAAGGCTCGGATCAGGTCTTTTTCACGGGAAGACCAGGCCTTTCCCACAAGGGATGTGTTTGCTCTTTCTTTTGCGCTACTCGGAACTGCTGGGGACAGGCGCGCATCTTGGTCTCGGTTAGGCCAGCACCCAAAACAAGACTCCGCCTGTGGGGATCAACTAGTCCAATTCTGTTTTACAGATCAGAGAGTCAAAGTCACCCAGCAGGTTAAAGGCACTGCTGGGAGCAGGGAGCAGGTTTCCTGAGAGCCCCAGCAATAGAACCTCCCAGAGCGAGGCACAGAGAGGCTGTGCCAGCCCACTCACGGGCATGCACCTGAGGGTGTGCAGGCTCTGGGCTGTTTATCTGAGGGAACCGATTCTTTTCACAGGCCTCAGTGGGGAGAGCTAGCCCCATGAGAGCGTATCTTTTAGACTTCCAGATGGCAGCTGGGGGTGGGTGCACCCTTGAATAGGGAGCAGCGATGCTGGGCTAGTGGCTGGAGCCAGCAGTGTGGGAAATGAGAGTCTCATCCTACTTCATGCCATGGTCACACAGGTCACGAGAAATGGCACTGCTTACGGCCAGCAGGAGAAGCAACTATGTGTCCTGGTGCTGGGACAATCTGAGAATTGTAGTCCTCTGTGCCCGCGACCACACCTGCCCCAACAAGGAGGTGCAGGGGCTGAGCAGCAAGGTAGCTGGTTGAGAATCAGGGAATCTCAGTTCTAGCACCACGTGGGCCACCGCATGCTGGCAGGAAACGCGCCAGTGAATCAAATGGCATATTCCAAGAAAAAGTTTGCAGGTTTCAGCTCATTTTAAGAATTTCAAACCGATGATTGCCAGACTCAATTAAGCCAAATTAACTTTTTTTTTTTTTTAATTAAATGGGCTTTTCAGCATCCAGTCATTAAAACAGAAAGACAGTCTCAATCATTTGAGAGGGCTCCGGAGTGAGAGCTCGCTTTGAATTCAGGCCCTGCCACTACCTGTGTGGCCTTGTGCAAATTAATGAATTTCTCTGTCCTTTGCCTTCTACTTCACAGAATGGCCATGGAGTACCCTAACGTTCAGGGTAGTTTAGCACCGTACCTGTGCCCTGTACCAGGTGCACAAGTAGTTATAAGTATGAACGTAATTACAAAAGCATCTGAGGAGGACCTGTAGCCAGTAAGTGACACTGGCGGGTAAATCAGTAATGATGTTTATTCAAAAGTGGAAATCTCGCTTCGGGATGCCTGTAGACTGACAAGGACATTTACAGAAAAAATTGGGGGAACAATTCCATGAAGAAGATCCAGCTGAGCTAAGGACAAATTCAATGCACAAAATTCACTCAGTGATAGAGGAGGATATGACTATAGGAACGTTATACAACACAGGTTTGTTCATTTGTCTATGATGTGAACTTAGTTTAGGAGATTTATGCTTGATTTGGCCAAAACACCTAGTCTGAAGAATTATTTTAAGGTTTTCTTTCCTTAAATAATTAAGAGAAGAAAAATAGAGTTTTTGGAGGCAGACAGGTCTGGGTTCAAATTCTGGGTCTGCGAATATTTGCCAGGAGACCTTGCCTCCTCTCACTCTGATTCTCAGTTCCCTCATCTGTAGAATGGGATGGTCCTGCTACCTCGCAGTTGGACATGAACATTGGCTGGGTTCAGGGGCCAAGCACAGTGCCTGCCACAGGGAGGCTGCTCAGTCAACAGACCAATTGTTATTCCACAAATGCTAAGTCCGCATAATACATCACGGCCTGAATCCTTCGGCTGGCCTTGTCAGGATATGGAGGTGTCATTTCCCAAATTTCAAGCTTACCGAACCGGCAGGGACCTGCTAATTTTACCTAGTTCCTGAGGCAGCCTCAGGTCAGAGGCAATGGAAGAGTAAATACGAGCCTTTAGTTGGACCAGGTGCTACCCCACAGCATAGATAGTTCGACCTGTGAGTGATATTGCCACCTACTGGTAAAGAGGGATATTGCAGCTCAGCTCTATCTGCCCTCCTATTCACAGAAAAGAATCTCTGGAAATGAGATTTCAAGTGGTACCAGAGAATGGAAATAGCAGGTATAGAGAATAAGAAAAGCAGGAGAAGTCTAACAGGGCAGGAAGAATCATAAGATGGAGTGGTACAAAGTTCTAAAATTGCTGCAGGCCAAGTTTTCCAAACAGCTTTGGGAAACTTTTTCTTTTTCTTTTTTCCTGGCTGAGGGTATGTCTTTGATTTTACAATAGCATCTAACGGGAAAGCAGGATCACTTTAAAGCTCATTCTACTGAAATGTAGCTCTTCCAATGGTGTGAGGGACACATTGACAAAGGAACCCAATAAATGTTTCCTGGTAAGGTGACCGATCCAGGTGACAGAAAGGAAATCTGCCCACTCATCTGGCTCTAGTTTTGCCAGTGGAACCTGAGGAGAATGTGGCTTTAAAACCTCAGCAAAGGTTTTTTAAAAAAATCAGTGGGGAGAAGAAAAATAAGACTGAACTCACCTCTGTCATGCGGGGCTTGCGGGAGCTGGATGGCACGAGCCTGCCTGTCTCAGGGTGCGGAGCTGTGGCCATGGTGTATGTCTCTTTGCTCACCTTCTGCTTAGACCTCAGGAGGGACAAAGCAGCTTTAGTGGAAACCCCTGGAAGGTTGGGGTTGTACAAACTTATGCACCAACCAGCGTAAACAGAGGACCTCCTATCTGCGTGCTGGATGTGATTTGGCTTAATGTAGTTTAAATAGCACCAACTGACATTAGTGGTTGTGTGGAGGCTGGGGAACTGCAGTACCTTCTTTGAGTCCGTACCTTCTTGAGACTTGGCTGGTTTGGGGGACATTTCGGACAGAGGAAGCGAGCTGGGAGGTGCCAGGGAAGGGAGGTCAGGTTGTTCCTTGGAATCTTCTTTCTTCACACTCAGAGGGGGCAACCCTCTTCGGTGAGGTTTGTCAGGTGGCTGCACATATTCTTTCAAAGCCTCTGAGCCTGGAGCTGTCGCATGGGGTCGTGTGGGATGAGGAAGGGGAGGAACTTCCTTTGGGTCAGATGGATCTGCGGGCAGGCTGGACAGCAATTCTAGCTCCCTCCTGCCCTGGCCCTGGCTGCCCAAGGGGGATTTCTCTGGCCTCTTGCCATCCTCAGTGCTGGAAAGCACCACACTGCACGGTTTTACCAGTTCTAGTTTTTCATCTGCCTGGGAAGCCTCCTCTTCCTTCACCCGTTTTTGCTGCTGGGTTTCCATGGTAAGTTCAAGGCTGCCAGCCGGCGAAAGGACACGTTTGCTTCCCCCCACCGTCGAGGAACTCCCCTCCAGGCTCAAGACACTGTCTGATGACAGGGGAGTGCCTTTTCTTTCAGGTACTGTCACAGGCACTCTCAGGTACGGAGTCTGGAAACCTCTGCTCTGCTCTTCACTTATCCCAGCTGGTCCGGGCCCGACCTCGTACACATCTGCCCCACACACCGTCGTCCCTTTGCATGAGGGCTCCTCAAACTTGGGAAGAGCTACAGTTGCTGAGCTGCCTTGGGACTGGGTGACCAGGATCTGGGAGAGGGTGGTGTACATGGCGCTCCCGTAGGACGGCATGTGGGTCTGAATTCGGACCGGCACAACCAGGGACACCATGGTATCTGGACAGGCGGGCAGGGCCAACGGAGGGGCTGACGTGGGCGCTGAGGAGCTGGCGGGGGGAGCCACGGGGGGCAGCGGGATGTCAGTGCTGTACTCTGTGCTGGGGGAGAGGCCGGCAGTTCCCGTGGCCAGCGGGGCCGGGCTGGTTTTGATCTGCGGCAGATGGCTTTCCACATCGCCGGGGAGCTGAAGGGCAAACTGGGATTGCAGAGGCAGGTAAAACCCAGAAGAAAGTGCTGAGGAGGACGGGTACGGCATGGGGAGAAACGAAGGGGGCTGCCGGAAGGGGATGCTGGCTGGGTGAGGCATGAGCTGGGGGAGGTGGAGTGGGCCTGGGTGCAAAACAGTAGGTTGGAGGGGAAGTGGCGGGGCTTGAAATAAAGAGGGAGGAATTGGGGGCATGGAGTATGGTGAGGACAGGAGGCTGGACATGGCCTGGGTGGAGAAGAATTCTGAAGACTGCCCAGGCTCATGCGGCAGGAGGTGCTGGAAGGAGAAGAGGGAGACAGGCGGGGGCAGGCACGGTTTCTCATGCAGGGGGAGCTGGGCACTGGGGTGGTGGAACACCTGCAGCGCTTCTGTGTAGGGCGGGGTGGACCCCAGCGGTGGCCTGTCCTGCACCTGGCTCTTGCCTCCCGCGTGCCCAGTGTGTGAGGTGGCCGCTGAGGAAATCTGGGGCAGTGAGCTTTTGGCCGAAGTTTTACTGGATGAGGGCTTTGGTTCCTCACTCTCCTGTCTTCCCTTGGGGGTGGCCTCGGGCTCTGTTTCTGGAAACCTGCTCAGAGAGGCCTGTCTCACCAAAAAGCATTTTCTTCTCTCTGGAGGGGCCACTGGAGCTGCTGGGGCTGCTGGGGCTGCTGGAGCCACTGGCACCGGCACAGCAGGGCCCGCCAAGGACAAGCTGCCATAGTCGAATGATTTGCTGCGCCTCTCAGTCATGTGGGCAGAATGGGAAACGTTAGGACTCTGCTCCGAGGCTGACCTCCGCATCTCCCGGGTGTGTGGGTGGTGGCTGGGGACGGTCAGCATGTGCGTGCCCAGGGGTTTGGAGCGTGTGTCGGATGAGGGCCCGGGGGCCTCAGCTTTTCCATGGTCATCCCTCTCAAAGGAGGCGGAGCGGCTAGACCCGCTCAGAGAGACGCTGCTTTCCTGGCTCGGGCTGCGGGACAGAGGCACAGAGGACTCGAAGCTCGACTCCCCTGACGACTGGGCCATCTCCGCCAGGCGCAGCCTCTTCTTCTTGGGCGGCAGCTTCTCGGCTGGGAGCTGGGCAAGAGTCTGGCTGCGCTGGGGCCACTGGAACTCCTCTGTCTTCTCAGGCTCCTTCGGGGGCGGCTCTGGCTCTGTGTCCTGCCGGTCGGGCTCCTCAGTTACCAGGATCTCAGGAACCTGAATGTTGGGCTGGCGGACCAGCTTGGGCTGCAGGGAGTGAGCCGAGCGTCCATGCGGGGCGGGTGGGGGCGATGAGAACGGGGCCGGGGCCGGAGACTTGTCTTCCCCTTCCAAGCCAGTGGGCTGCTCCAGAGAGTCTGACTTCTCAAAGGAGCTGGTGTGCTGGATGACAGAAATTTCTTTGGACGTTGTTCTCCTCTCCTTTCCTGATTCTGAACCGGACCCTGGCTTGGGAGTCCTTGGCTGGAAGCCCGAGGGTCCCTCCAGGGAGGGCGTTGATTTACTTGGTTCTGCTGGTGACTTGGTGGACTCTGGGGGAATGTTCCGAGCAGCATCGGATGGCCTGGAGCTGCCGAACTGACTTTTTGTCGACTCAAAGGCAGGTGGCTCCTCCTCGTCCCCAAGGCTCTTCTCTTTCCTCCTCTTTCTCAGCGGAGTGAGCTCCAAGGTGGTCCCCAGTTTATAATGCATCATCTGGGACCAGGGCTCATGCTCGGCCGGACTCTTCTCGGCTTCCAGAGACACGTGAGCACCTGCAGAGCTGGGCTTTGCGATCTGAAGCTCTGAGCAGTAGTATTTCTTGTGGGCTTCGTAGTTGTCCCTTTTCTTGTACCGAGCACCACAGATGTTACATTCATAGATCACCCCTTTTGTTTTCAAGCCCTTCTTGGTCTTTTTGGTGAGTTCGCTTTCCTTGGGTTCCGGCTCCTCTGCGAGTTTGGGGGCTGTGTCCTTGCTGCTTGGCCCCGCCTCCTCGGAACTGTACTCCCCTCCCAAAGGTAGTTCAATGGCCGGCTGGCGCTTGAGCATCCGGGGGTGGGAGGTAAACACTTGACTGCTGCGGCTCAGGGCTTCGGAATCGGCGATGTGGTCATCGAAGGAGTAGCTACCGCGGAAGGTGTGGTGGGGGGTACTGAGGGTGCAGGTGGCAGAAGGCATTGAGTGGCTTCTCAGCAGAGGCACAGGGGGGGTGGTGCTGGGTGGGTGTTGGAGGCTCAGCAGCGATTGTTCGGGCTTGGTTTTCTCGCCATGGGCCGACAGGGGCTCCCGGTAGAGGCTGGATTTGGGCGACTCCATGCTGCTGCGCCGTGACAGCGAGCTCCTCCTGGGCTTCACGCTGTCTATCTCGCTGGTGTCCACCACGGCCTCGTTGATGGTGATGAGCTTGGTGATGTGCTCGATGACCTGTGTCCGGGGCACAGACAAAGGCACCAGGCTGGGCTTGTCTTCGGTGGACAGCGGCAGGAGGGGCTGGGTGGAGGTGGCCGTCAGCATGGTGGTCCGCTGCCCAATCCGCCCGCACTTGCCGAAGATGATCTCTGCGTAGGACCTGGCGTTGGTGTTTGGGGGGCTGACCTGCTGCTCGGCGCTCTCCGAGCGGGAGAAATACCCAGATTCAGTGCTGCCTTTGCTGCCGGGGCTCAGGAACGCCTGCTCATCGATCACCTTTTTCCTCTCACTCAAGCGGAGGGCCAGCTTCTGCTTTATGGTGTGGGTGTCTTCAGGTTTATGGCTCAGGGGGTGCTCTGATGAGGGTTCCGCGAATGGAGTGGGGTCCTCGAGCGACTGCGCTGAGCTGGACTGGGACAAGGAACAGCGCTCGTGGCTAGAACCCTGGCTCCCAGAGCTGTACAAGCCGCTGGACAGGAGGGGGTGCTTAGGCCTAGGGGAGAGCTCTGCATGGTGAGCGGACGTGGTACCCGTTTCCTCCTCTGAATCGGTGCTCTCTCCCTCAGTGGGCTCCTCAAACTCTTCCCCTGGGATCCTCTCCACCTCCAGCCCCGGGGGGTACATCTCGCTGCCCACTCCCGAGGCCAGGCCGGCTTTGATGCGGTGGGCATGGGACTTCCTGTGCTTGTAGAGGTTACTCTTGGTCTTGAAGGAGAAGCCACAGGGGCCGCAGGGATAGGGCCTCTCGCCCGTGTGCGAGCGGATGTGTTTCTGGAGCACGCTGGGCTTGGCGCAGGGCCGGCTGCAGTACTGGCAGATGTACTTGCCCGGTTTCTGGGGTTTCCTCTCCTTCTTGTGTGCCTCTTCTGTGGGCTTCAAGGGAACCTGGGAGGGACGGGGCACGAAGACTTTGGGGATGCCAGGCAGGTCTTCCGGGGGGATGATGGAAGCGTGGGAAGGGAGGAGCTGGCTCTGAGGATGGAGCCCGGGACTCATGAAGGAACTTGAGGGTCCAGGTCGCATGGGGTCGACCAGCTGCCACGTGGACCCCTCCAGGAGGTGCTCGGGTTTGCCAGGCGACATGAATGCTGGTGTCAGAGGGTGCTGCGGAAGCTGTGAGATGTGGACAGAGGCTTCGATGGAGGACCTCTTGGGGGGCTTCTGCTGCTGGCCCGTTTTCTCCTGAGAGCCTTCCCTAAGAACCGACGAGGGGCCTGGGAAGGGCTGCGGGGCTAGGAGCTCTTGCACGGGGCCTTCGGGGGTGGCGGCGGCGCTGCTGCCTGGGTACGGCGCACCGGCTGAAACACTGGTCTGAACAGCCTCTCCTTTGGTCGGCCGCTTCCGGGGACTCCCCTCAGCCTTCTTGGTGCCCTTGACGCTTTGTTCAGGATCCATGACCTCCACAGAGACTTCAGATGCTATTCAGGGAGGGTCAGGGCAGGCTGCATTTATGGGTAATCCAAGTGTCCCGAGAAGGTGTCTGGCTTTGGCCACATTGGTCAAGAGCGGAGGAAGCCAAACCCAAGACGGCTTTGGGAGTTTTTTTGCAAGTGTCACTGGCTGTGAGTGGACTCAGAGCAAGTCATCAGGGCTTGAGCTAGTCACTTCGGTGAGGCATGGCCCTTTACTTTGCAGACAGAAAATGCGTCAGCACTTTCTGCCTGAATGTCTGTCGTGGAAACGTCATGAAGGACGTCAGTGTTGCCATCGTATTGTTTCAGTTGGCAGTGACAAGTGGCCCCCCATGAGTCCCCTGTGTGCTATGCGAACTGCTGAAGGCGGCAGACGTCTGTGTGCGTGGCCCAGTCATCCCTGGTCCCAGCACGAGAGAAGCCACGCTGGATGCTGCAGGTGGCTCCGTCGCCTGTTTTCCCCTTTATTCCCGTGCTGGAGATCAACGGCCGTGGAGGGCGATTCACGCTCTTCTATGTGACCAAAAACAAACAAACAAACAAACAAACAAACAAACAAACAAACCACACGGAAATACACACACACAAGAGAAGAGAGAGTTACTGCGACTGGTCCACAGCCTGGGCTTCTCTGGCTCTGTGAACACCAGTGAGATCCCTAAAAGCTAAACCAGGGAGATACTAGCAGAACCACAGCCCTGGCTCTGCACGTCTGGACACCGCCCATCCATCCCTCACCCACATTCACAGTGCTGTTGGGTGACTCCAATTCCAGCTGTGGTTCTGGGGACTGCGGCTGTGGGTGGGGGGTATCAGGAACAGTCAGGGACAGGAGGCCTGGGCTCTAGTCTCTGCTCCGTGAGCACCTCTGAGTGGGATTTAGCTTCCTAAGTATCAGCTGCCTGATCTAGAAAATGGGAAATGATTCTTGCCTCAACTATGCCTTGGGGCTACAGTGGGGTCCAACGTGATAACAGACGTGGATGCCACCGGACAAAGTCTGGTTGGTGCAGGAGGAGGTGCTGGTGGGGCATTCAAGGGTGAGCTTTCCCAGGAGTAGGTTATTCTCAGATGTCACTCTCTCTCTGGCCCTGGATTCTGAAGGTGTCCAGGATGGGCATCACTCATGGCTCTTACTCCTCTGCTTGCCCACCCCTCCAGCTGTTTCATGGTGAAGCTAAAGCCACTCCCCTAGCCTGCAGGAGCTCACAGTCTAACGCAGCCATGACCACCTGACCTGCCAAGCAAGGGCTGGGAGGATTGTTCTGGCAGGTTCCTCCAGCTTTGCAGCCTTCCCTTGCCCAGTCAGTGCCCCAGGGATACCCTGGAAGCGGCTCAGAATGTGGGTCCTTTCCAAGCCGAGGGGCAAAGTTGTTCTGGGTGGACCTCTACGCGTGTGTGCCCTCCCTGGGCCAGCCAGAAGTCAGACAGTCCAGGCTTCTTGGGCTCCAAGTGCTTCTCAGGGCCCCTGTCTCAAGCAGCACAGTCAGCATTTCAGAGCTGGTTGTGACAGGAGTCTGGGCCCTAGTCTCAATCTGCCACCATAGTGGAGAAAACTGAGGACCACAGAGGGAAGGTGGCACGCTAGGGTCCCGTGTTCCTAAGAGGCAGGGCTGGCACCTGAACCCAGGTTCCCGTGGCTGGAGTTCATTCCCCACCTGCCCGCAGGGGTCAGTCGGCTGGGTGAGGGCCTGACTGAGTGCCGGTGTCCCCCGGGCCTGCCCCCCTCTCCTGCAAGCACGGCCTGCCCCCAGCACCCTGACCTTGGCTCCGTTCACGCCCGTGCCCTGCTTTTCACCAGATATTTTTTGATGCAGACTTGAAGAGTTTGCTCTTTGCGCCTTCACAGGGTATGCAGAAGGTCACCCAGCCTGAAAGACTCGAGCAATTGTCTCACACATGGCAGGGCCTCGGACATAATGACACGCTGCGGCAGAGCAGGTGGCTCAACCTATTAGCTAAAAATTATACGCTCCAAATTTATTCCTTTTGTGTTTCCTTTCCATCTTGGTTCTACAAAGAATTCAAGAAAACTATAGCAAAATTTTATAAATATTTATAAAAGAATGATACACTATAAATAAATATAACTTTAAATAAGAATAACAAATCAGGACACAGGAAAATGTAAATAAGGCAGGAAGTCAGGATTGGCGGGATGGAAAGAACACTGGTATACCAATCATAAAAGCTCACAGTGTTTCTATAGGTCAGCTACACAATTATATAGCAGCTTCCTGGCAGCTGAGGAGAAAAGAGAAATGTGGCCCATTACAGAGTCCTGACAAGATAGAGATGAAGAAACATGTCAGTTCCCTTCAGGAAGCAAAGGGTTGCTTGAGAAGAACTTATTCATGTGGTACAGGGGCAGTGAATGATGTATGAGATCACCTATGTCTTCAACTGACTTTCTTCCCGCAAAGGCAGTGATTGATTTTTGTCAATGGAAGGTCACAACTCAGTAATGGCTATTATTTGAGCCATCAAAGCCCCCCTCTGACTCAGGCAGAGAAAGTATCCTCCCAAAGCAGGGCCAATGTGGGTAAGGCAGGGAAGCCTCACTGCATCCTATTACCATCAGTAGGGGGACCATGTAAGGTATTATTCAAACTAGTGCACATTTGAGAGTGAAAGAGGCATTGCCAATGATTATGAAGGAGCAACAGGAACAAACTGGGACTGTCTCAGGCAAATTGGGACAGTTACCCTTACAATCAATATTTACCTTTAGACCCAAACCAAGCACAAGTGTTCACTCTGGATATCCGGTATAAACTTTGGATCTTTGCTATGAGGACTGAGATTACACTGTGGTCTCCTAATGGATGCTTAGAGATTGGTTATCTAGGCCAGTCTTCTCACTTGACAGATGGGGAGACTGAGGCCTAGAAAGCTGATGTGCTTTTTCCTAAAAATTGCACAGCGATGGTGGCAGAGCTAGACTGTCCTATGCCTCTGGCCAGGGCTTGTCTCCTGCCTCAGTGAATCAACGGCCGCTATGACTTCCGTGGCACAGTGGGCACCGCAGCCCCTGGCTCTCTGCTCTGTGGAGGCACTGGCATGGCCCCAGGCACATGGCTATATCACCAATGAGGTGGTCAGCAGGTGTCTAGAGGTTTAATAGCAACAGAGGCCTGCTGGACAGGAGAAGTGGGAAGCCCGGCTAATGTTGAGGAGTCCATCCTGGTGGCATTATACCAGGCCTTGATTATCCAAGTTAAGGTGGTCATCTGTAGTATAGACACAGCACTGTTCTCCAGGCTGGCCTGGGACTCCTGGGCCTGGCTGCACCTGTGTGGGGGAGAGGCGCCTTAGGTGCTGTGTCTGGATAATAAAGGTTTGCCTCTACCTACTATTTTTACTGACCCTTTCATGCAAGGAGGTCAAGGTACGCCCCCCCCGCCCCCCTCCGCCCAGTGTTAGTTAGAAGTAAGGTTTGTTTATTCTGATGGATGGGTGGGACCCTGTGGCACGACTGGGTGGCAAATTAACAGTCTGAGTGGGGTCAATTGGCTAAGGGGGGGACCCTACATTGTCCAGTCCCACAGTTGTCCCGTCACTGAGCCACTGGGCTTTCCAGAGGCAGGCTGGGAAATGCCAGTGGCTGGAGTTTGGGGCCATTCCCAAGCCAGGGGGGAGGGGCGGGTGGAGGAGGGAAACAGTCAGGAGACTATTGTGTCATCAGGTGACTCACTGGGCGAGCACCACGTGCCTAGGTCAGCATCCGGCTTATACCTGTGAGCTGGCCTGGGGCTCCCTCGGAGAGGGGGCCCTCCCTGCCTGCACGCTCCGAGGGAGGCACAGCCAGTGCCACTGGCCCCCCAGGTTGTGGAGTCAGCAAAGCCTGGGAGCGGAAAGTCCACCTGTTTGTTCTGCACGGAGGGTACCTGAGCCACGGTGGGAAATGACGAGCCCAGGGCCACACGGGTCCTCGGACTCTGGGGTCAGTGCTCTCTGCTGCCCTGCTCTACACTCACAGCGGGTCTGAGGCTCTTAACACAAGGGGGAGTGGGAGGGGCTGCTGGGACTGTGGGTGCAGATGTGGGGCAAAACTACAGGAACTAAGAGGGCCGCAGCCTTGGAGTGGATTACAATTCAGGTTGGCATAAGCATTTTGTTATTTCACTCTTCAGCTCCTCTAGAAGGGTGATTTCTAATCCCTGTGACCCAGACACACCAAGAAAATGACTCTTTTCTACCTTCTGTGCCTCTGAGGGTATGTGTAAAATTCAATATAAACTTGAAGTAACAGGAAAACCTGTTTTTCCAGAGAATTGGTGAGGGTGCCTATAAAAGCCACCAGTGACATGAGGTCAGAGGTAGTGGCTGTCCCTGCCAGGGCCCAGGAGCTGGGCCAGCCGGGGCCTGGGCCTCAGGCCACAGGGGGATGGATGTCCTCTGCTGGTGCTGGGACAATGGCCATGGGGCCCACCCTGTCTGCCACCAAGGCCACAGCCCTGAGAGCTCTGGCTCAGAAATGAGCTTAGAACCATAAGGAAAACCTGAGCTTCAAGAGCCAGTTAGCTAACATCAGACAACTCAGCTCCTACATCTGGAAGCTTCCATAGGTCTAGCTGTTAGGATAGTCCAACAGGAAAGAGAGCAGGGTGCTGGGGCTTGAGCCACAAAGGCCTCAGGGCAGTCAGAAGTGATGGGAGAGCCCACAGGGCCCAGGTGATGCGGCTTGAAGCTCTGAAGCCAAACAAGAAAGCACCTTCCACACCTTAGGCACCATGCCCATAGCCCAGAGTGGGTACCCCAGAGGGCTCTACCAGAGGGGACAAGGGAGTTGGGCTCGGTGAGGAGGATGGCTCCCCCCGGCCTGGCAGGAGGCCAGCCCGAATCTGCCGTGGGCTCTAGACTAAGGAGCTTGGCTCACCAGCCAAGTTAGATAAGACTGAGGCAAGACAGGGACAGGGGCCAGATGGCCAGGGTCTATTCGGTCACTCTAGCTCCAAATTTGTGGAGCTTGATAAAATTCCTTGCTTGTAATTTAGTTACACACACACACACACACACACACACGTATGCCTGCACACAGTCTAATATGCTAAAATCTGGTCAAAATTGGACTGACGGTAATAAAATGTACTGATCTTAAAAACACCAGGAAAGCAGGACTTCCACCTCATTTAAAAAGCCGAAACCCAGTGCAGGAGGCTGCAGGTGACAATACAGACTAGGGGTTAGGCCTAAAGGACAAGACGGGCACCTGCTGTGAAGGAAGCACCCTGTCACGAAGGCCACACCCCCACGGCAACACTGCCCAGAGGTTCCAAGGGCCGCTTTGCAACTCGCGTTTGGACCTCCTCACTGGGACCTCCTGGAACCTCTCTCATCTCCAGTCTCCCCACCCGTAAAACGGGGACAATAAAAGTACCGCACGTCTGGTTGTTTCTGCTTCCCACGTCTCCTCTGTGCTCGTTCTAGCAGCTTTGGTCCAGACCAGTAGATTTGTCTAGACCAGAGTTACCAAGACTGGCTACAGAACAGAAAGCCTAGGGAGCTTTTCC